GTAACAATTCGAATGAAGCTTTCTAAGTGATGCGTTTTAATATTCCAAAACAGTTTTCAGATATAGTTGATATGAATTGCAATAAAAATAATAAAATTTTGGAATTGTAAAATTTTGATTAATGCAAAATTTTATTACATTTCGTGATTATATTATGAAACTTGATTATTTTTATTGAAATTTTATAGCAATTATCACTCTAAAAATTTTGCGTTCATCAAAATTCCAGGCGTTCTGAATTTACGAAATTTTAGACACGCTTGTTGCAGGTATCTCACTGAAGTAATAACCGTTTTTGTAAGAATAATTTGCATGGTTTACTACATTTGTAAAATTAATGCTTTTTGGCTGCTGCTAATGAAATAACTTAGAAAAAATAACCATAACAATTTTAAGGAAATTTTCGATTTCCTTGACTTAAGGCTGCATTTTGGAAAAGCGGCAAAGCTTCGTAAATAGTTTTTTATTCATGTTTAAATCATGCTACTAATTATTTAGTATAAAAATAGAACAGGTTTGAAGTTAGTTTTCTTCAAAATCATACAAAATTGGCGTTGGAAAATAGAATTTTTGTAGTTACATTTTTACACGAATTATTTTTTAGTTTTAAGTATATTTTTTTCTTATGTTAAGTTTCTTATTTGTTAACTTTTTAAGTTGATGGCGCTGCAGCCAAAACTCAAAAAAAAAAATTATAATTATTATTAACAAACCATTAGGAAACTCAAAACGTAATAATACCTACATAAACTAAAACTTAATTGGTGAAAAAACTGCATAACAAAAATCCGCCATCTTTTCTTCAACCACAAAATATTATTTCCTTCATTCGAAATTAGAAATTTAGGCATAGTCCTATTTTAATTAAAGTTTCTTTAAAAAAGGTCATGTCTGAAAGAATTTTGGAACACTGTTATTAAAGTATGTCTATTAAATTTATTTATTGAACAATGGTACCAAATTATATTTATGTCTGTGATTGAGATAATAATAAGCGCAGTGTGATTAATTATAATCCTAGTCATTAAGTAAGTAATGGCAAGATGAGACCAATTTTATTTTGTATGCTTTAATAAACTTAATATATTCATATATTATTGTGAAACAAAGTAAATAAAATACTATTATATTTTTGTAAACTACATTTTGTAAGTAAGTAGGTACACATATCATGTCAACAAAGTTGTCTACAATGCATTTAATATTGAAATTTTTACTTGAAGATTGAAGAAATAAAGTTGCAATGTTATTTTTTTACAACATTTATTTAATTAATAATGGCAAATATTATAAAGACGTACATCTCTAGAAGAAAGTAATGCATTCTCTCAGGGAGTTCAACTTATTTTACCAGTCTGACTAATGCAAGATGAGTCTGAAAAACCTCAGCTAATTCAAAAAAGCTTTTCCTTCTTTTTATTTATGGTGGTGCTCTCTTAGAATTTCGCCATTATCGCGTTTTTCGCTTAGAACTTTTATGGGTTTCTGAAGGTTCTGCTATTCAACGAGTATTGTGGGATACTATATGAAAGAGTACAAGCTTGCGTATTAAAAATGTCTTTTGTGAGTACATAATGAAACTTTAAATTAGTAAGACTTTCTTTTAATAAGGATTTAGTGGCCGTGGATGAAAAGTTAACGACTTAATAGCGAAACTGGAATGTCTATATTTTGCAAAAATTTTAACATCTTTCGACTCCGTTTTCATAATTAATCATTAAATCATAATTGAATATCTAAGTTGGGAGATTCAACTTCTCCAATCTCGCTATTTATTTATGTTCCAAATCGTCTTTAGCACATCCGCGTTGTTTTTAATTATATCATTTTATAAACATTTACTTAAGCTGCAGTACAAACATGCTTAACCGTTTCGAATACTTTTTATGAAAATCATAATAGGTAATTGTCATTAGTGTTATAGATCATAAAGTTCAGAGCCACTATTTATAGACACAGATAACAATCACGATAGTGAATTTATTTACGAAAATGACGTAATAAATTCACCAGCAACAGACGAAGACTATTTTTTCGCTTTTGATCCTCTTTTTACGCTGTTGTCCAATTGTTTTAAATCTTGTATCTTGCTTTTAGCAACTCAAATTTGTTTTGATGTATATGCTAAATAAAACTACTAAAGAAAATACTAATAATAATGTACTCTTCAAATTATTTATTTATTTGTTGAGCATTGGCCATAGAGCCATCAGCTAACAAGCAACAAACAATTAAGAAACTCAAAACTTAAACTAAAAATTAATTCGTGAAAAAACTGAAACTACAAAAACCCGCCATTCTCTTCAATTATATTTTTTCAATTTTAACTAATTGAAATTTTTCGGAAAATTATCCATGTAAGTAAAAATACTACTATTCTAAAGTAATGTTGGGTCATGGAAAATCTTAAAATATCCCAAAATAAATTCTGGTTGTTTTTCCAATTTTAACTTTTTTCTGAAAGAATTACCCACTAGTATGTATGTACTACATACTTAGCAAATTGTTCGTTTAGATAAGTGGCCCTTACGTTATGGGCCATATTAGAATTAATTTTGAATTAATTCTTTTTTTTAATACAAAATGGCAATAACGTGGATCCTGTCAATCAGTTGTCATTTGTCCGTCGTCGTGAGTGTGTGTCAGTTTATTTACTCTTCAAATTTTTTCGTAAATAGAAATTAATTTTAATAAAAATATGGATTTACTAAAGAATAATTGGTTCACGGAGTCATGCGAGATGTGGCCGGGTGGTACTTTCTCATTGGAAGTGAAGGAAGTGCTACATTCGGAAAAATCGCAGTACCAAAACATCCACGTTTTCGACACGACAAGTTTTGGAAGAGTTTTAGTACTGGACGGTATTATACAGTGCACACAAAAAGATGAATTCTCTTACCAGGCAAGTTATTTGAATCTTTTTATTTATTACAGCTTCAAATTTGTTTTATTTTAATGTAATCAAAACTTTTTAAGAAAAAAGTTTTCTCAAGAAAAAATCTGTTCCATTCAACCTTGTGACAAATTTTTTTAAAATAATTTTTTAACGGATTTCTACTCCCTGAGTAATTACTCACCAAATTGCAGTTACAGCCATTTCAAATTACTACAATTTGTCAGCATTTAGAAACCTTAAAACACAGTAAAGCACATCTACTCAACTACAAGCCCAGTCAAAACCCTAGTAAGTCAATTTGACCAATTCAAAACATAGTAAGTATTTGAGACTTGCTAGGTTTTAAGGTGGTTAAAGCTTACAGGGTATTTGAATTGGCAAATAGTGCATGGGAGATGTGGCGGTGAGGACCTCAACCTGTTTAACAAAACAATATATACAGAGTGGAAATAGTCAATGAGACGTGAAGGAGAACTGCCTTAAATACTTAAGATAGCTAATTTTAATTAAAGGAAACATTCTTTTATTTTTATTAATTTGAATTACTGTATTCGCAAACTTTTAAAGTGAAATCTAAATCGAATCTATTAAAAATTCCAAAATTTAATTAGTGAAACAAAATTAAATTTCATTCCAAATTTTCTTATGCAATAACCAAACCAATTACCTAAGAAGTGCTTATACCGTGTTTTGATTCTGACTACCACTTAACTTTACTTATGTACATACACATAAATATGCAAATTTAGTAGTAAAATATGTAATATAAGTTGTAATAATTTTTGTGACATCAATATATTTCGTGCCTGGTTCCATACCTAACACTATTACTTTTTGTTAAATTAAAAGGAAAGTTGTTTAAGGGTAGCCTTGTGTTTTTGGCTCTCCTGGAAAATATTGTCTAAAGCACTTACTAGGCTTTGCTCTGGTGCAGCCGCACAATAGATACTTTAAAAATATGTCAATATTACACAAAGTAGCCTGTTATAGTGATCTGATAACATACATTGTATTAAAAATTTGTGTTTTTCATTCTAGGAGATGATATCATTTCTGCCCCTATGCTGTCATAAAAATCCGGAAAAAGTACTTATAGTCGGTGGAGGCGACGGCGGTGTCGCTAGGGAGGTGGCCAAGCACCCTAAAGTCAAACAAATTGTTCAGGTATATATTCTTTTAGGCTATTTAAGTCATATATGCTAGTCTCAAAAAATGAAAACGCTTATTGAGTTAAAAAACTTAGTGGTCAAATGTACAGAAAAAAATAATAGCTACTCATACTAACAAACTGAATACTGCATTGTGTGTACCATTGCGGACGAGAAGATAAAAACGTAAACACATTTGGGATTCAACTTACTGAGCTGAATAGTTTTCCACATAAAGGCAACCCAACGTTGGAAGGGTATGCCTGACATGCCAATATATATAAAAAATTAACGGCTTATGATTGCATACAAGTCTAATTGCTTGTTGACAAAAAATAAAAAAAAGCATGTAGATAAAATTATGATATTCAATGAACATCTAAAAACCTACTCGTACAACAATGCTACTACAATCTCAACACATTTTTTTAAAGATAATTATAATTACCTATATTAAATATATTATTATACTGTTTTTTTTAATGGGACAGTATGGGGAAATCTGAAACCAATTAAATAATTTTTCATACAAAATTAATAACATTTTATTAAATTTGACCAACTTCTGCTGTCCCGATTTTTTTTATCCCTTACTATGAAATCATCCTTATAAGAAGCTGAGTCAATCAGTATTGAAAAAAAATTTGATCAATTTCTTTCGCTTTTAAGGACAACGCACCAAAAAATTCAAGATCACACTTGACCAAAAAATTGACTGTGCCAAAATTGTTTTCATAAAAAGACTTAGTGGTTCCTAAGACAGTTTCCTTGTGTCTTCTATGGTGTCGTACTTCCCCATATTGTCCCACTGCCGTCCACTTAACAAAACGCGACTAAGTGACAAATGGTCAAATATCCGTTTGCAACAGCAAAAGATCGTTCGTCGTTCACGACAGTTAATCGTGTTGTATTAAATGTTTTTGACGTTACGACTACAGACTGTCGTGACGAAAACGCCAGTCGTCAGACGATAAATAAAACGTCACGATAAAAATGTGACGACAGATAATCGCAGCTTCAAACGACTCTGTCGTACAAATGCCAAAGCGGCTGCCGTGAACCGATACATTGTCGTCACGATCTAGCGGGAACAGCTAAACGTAACAGTCGTTTAACGATAAAATAAACGTCCACGACACAGTCACGTCAGATAGTCGTGATATAGGAACAGGCTAGACGCGACAGTCGTCCTACGATAAATAAAACGTTGCGACATAATGGGAACGTGCCCTTACGGATATTTTAAAGAAATCACAATAAGTTGTATATATTTTCTTTCTTAGAATTTTCGTACTTTGAGCCCAACCTGTAAACTAATAAAAAATATTGTTTAATTTCAAAAGCATGGAAAAGTTATCTTTTAATATTTCCTTTCTTAACAATTGTGTATTAAATAGCATAGCCTAAGAGAAAGAATTAAACTAGGTCCTTATTATCAGTTGACCTAAAGTTTCTTGAGCTAATTATTCACTCTGTAGTCCCTCTGTCCTACATTATATCTATTATAGTGTTATAAATAGTTTTGAAACTATTCAGTTTACCGGGAAAGCACAGACCACACCCAGGGGATATGAAAACTGTCGGAGCCAGGAAAGTCCTTCAGTTCCTAGTTGCTGCTGGCCTTGGCTCCGAACTATAATTAGTGGTGATCACAATAGATCAATTATAATGGTCGCAGTGGCCGAATGGAGCCACCCACCCTAATAACAATAATATCTATTCAGTTTCCTAATGACATGGAGTGATTATTTTGTTGTTCTGTAAATATTGGCATTTACTTACTAAGTATTGTTATTTTGTAATAAATATGTTATATAAATAATGTTTATAATAATTAATGAATATGATATTTTTATATTCGTAAATTATTAGGACTATAAAAATATGATATTCATTCACCATCAACTAGGAATATGAGGTACAGAATTTAAACTAGGATATTGATTCATTATAAAATGGAAGAAATTTAGTTCCAATACAGCTCCTTGTAAGAAGTTTATCCAGGGAAGTACTGCCACCTTACCTATTTTTGCCGCTAAGCATTAATGTGAGCGTTTATTGCGTTTACGTTTTGAATTACAGGCACATAGGACTTGTCTACGTGTATCTCAGAGTGACTGGCGCAACGGAAGCGCCCTTCAGATCTTTGCGATTTAAAGCTCTGAGCATTGCAACTTAATAGTTGAAAGTCATTGACTTACAAATAAATGGACGACGGGTCTAATACAAAAACCACGAAAAAAATGTCCCAAGTCAACCTATTCGAAATTTAAATTGTAATGTCATCGCAGTATCGCGCTGTCAGTAGAACAAATGAAGACTGTGGCGCTCTGTATACGATTTTAGCGCCTTACAAGTGCGGACACTTTTTAGCGCGGACCCGACGTCCATATAATTGTAAGTCAATGTTGAAAGTCCATAATTGGAAAGGCGTGTCTTTTACCACGACTTGTACGTCCCGTCATTTGGTATCATAGAAAAAGAAAGGAAAATGCATTGAATTATAGTGACGACCTCGGTTTACACTGTGAGCGCTTGATGTGGAGTTTCCGGGTTCGATTCCCGGTAGCACCAATTTGGGAAATTAACTTTTCTGAATTGGTACTGGTCCGGGTGTTCTGGAAAGTGCCCCAGAATGGATACCGTTACTCTGGTACTCATAGTACAGGGAATTCCCTAGTTTGAGACCAGGCAATGGGTGTGGTTGTCTGGCACATATTATTAATACTTAATAACACACACACTCATAGCCCCGCACTAGGGAAACTCTGTATCGCGGATGCCATGGACACATACATATACAATTACAAATTACACCCTAGAGAAATAAACGTAGGCCATACAAATATTTGTCGCGGCCCGGGAATCGAATCCGAGAACTGCGTGGCAGACCAGCATGGTAACCGTTCGGCCACGGAGGCAGTTATAATAAAAAAATATAAGTTAATGAGTAAGTTTATATGTTCCATATAACTCAGCCCGCAATTGAATGACCACTGATCAATCTTTTTTTATTTATAGTTACAGCGGGATGCCAACAGAGTTACACAACTTCCACACACACAAAAGTATTACAATAATTGTTACGCATTCCAATTTATAGCCATACATTGCATTAGCTAAATTAGATACCTACATGTTAAGTAAGTTCATTTTTTCATTCCAAGGTTTGTTTTCAATTCAATCCATTGATTGAATTTTATAGAAAAATAGCCTTTGCTATTTAGAACAAACTACAAATAAATTTTCCTATTATCATGTGTATAAAAGTATAACATTGCTTCTTAGTATAAATATGAAGTCACGTGGTAATAATGCTACAATGTGGATTTCTTAGAATATTTATCATCATTGTGCAATTGTGCAAACTGTCTTCCTTGTGCACTGTCATCGTTATGATTTGCTCTATCATCAACTTTATACTAATAATTACAATGTGATTTATTGTTGCTAAGAGCGACTACACCTGGCGACTTTTAGCATCGATACAAACGCGGGTTTGTGAAACGCGCAATGGCATAGCGACCTAGCGGTGGTTGCGTTGTTACTATTATATATAGGGTGTAAATTTGAGACGGGGCAGCAAGGCCAGCTACCTTAATCGTTGTAGTTACAGGAAAACGGTTCTAGGAGACTATTCATGAATTTTGATTGGCGTACACAGATTTTGTAAAAAATGGTACAGTCAGTCAAAACCGGAACGCAGTAATGTTCGCATCACAGTTTGGCGGCAGAAATAGGTAAGATGGACGAACTCTTTCACAAGGAGCTCTACTGCTAAAACTCTTACTCCTGACCGTTTTGTTCTCAATGAGTTGATAACGCGTTATGTCCATGCAATAAGAGCGTAAAAGGCGCTTTTCGCTCGGATCGTCATCGTGATCAGACAAAAATTTACCAATATTCATAAATGTATATCCTAATGTAATATCCTTAAATCATAATTTCCCAAATTGGTCCCTACCTGGGCGCTGAAGAGTCCTAGGGCGGTAGAGGCCTCGGAAGCAATTGGGGCCCCCAAAGTTGATGATTTGAAAAAAACCTGAATTATTTATATAAACTACACTACAAATATATTTTTTTTTACTTGTGATTTTTTTTGTTAAGTTAATATAAAAAAATACATGCTACCAATTTTTTTTTGTGGTGGTGGGCATTGAATTTTTTTTATTTTGTCTAAGTGCAGCGAGCCAAAAAATGTGTGGAATTTATGCTTTAAATAAGCATACTTTTCGATTTCCTGTGAATTCTCGTAACGATTTCTTATCTACAAGCCTCTTTCAATAGAGATAAAAGAACTTCCTTATGTGTAGAGTAGTCTAGCCAACAATTATCTATTCTGAGAAAACGATATCAAAGGTCAATACCGACTTGTAAATTAGGTAGATAAATATATGATTTTGTAAATAACTTTAAAGTTTAAATTTAAAATTACTTTATCGTGGTTTCTCTCCAAATACAATAGCATAGGGATAATTGAGCATATAAACAAATTACAGAAGCATATAAAAGACAATAATACATTTTTTTAAATGGAAAATAATAAATGAGTAACCTGTCTTCTAAAGAAATATTCCTTATTGTTTTTTTTACTCTTTACTTATTTAGGGACTTTTATCGTTACTAAACATATCAGCCCTGTTAGAAAAACAATAGCTTAAAAAATACTTAATATAATCCAGACAGATAAATCAAAATACTACCTAACCAAACATGTATACAAAATCTCCGCGGCGCTACATGTTATCTCCGACAAAACAGATTGAAACCACCCAACATTAAATGCACGAAAACCAGCCTGTGCAAATAACCGCGCCCTGATAGACTCCGTCCGAACATACTACATGAGCAAATGATGTACATCCTCAGGAATCCCACACACTTCGTAATTCGGTGAGTTCACCCCCCGCATTAAATACAAAAATTTGTTTAATGGAACGTTTCCGGATCGAAGTCTATGCGCGCTGACAATTTGACCCCTTCTTAACTTAACATGGTCAAACCAAGGGACACGAGGAGGCTCACCACATTCCTTTTTCCTGGGACCTCACATCGAAATATTCCTTCCATCGAGAGTGGAACTTGCTCTTATAATTTGCAACCACTTCAGAGAAGTCCGGCATAATGTCGACCTCAGGCCCCTCTGAAGCAGCTAACTAACTAACTAACCTAACCTAACCGGCCCGCTTCCTCATTCCCTACCAAGCCAATATGTGACGGCACCCATTGCAACCTCATGCCTAGTCGTAACATTATTTATTTGTTGTAAAATTTTATAAGTTAATGAATCACACCGTTTGCCATAAGTGCACCAGCTACATGTTGGATGGCACTTTTACTGTCAGACAAGATTACCACATTTTGACAAATTAACGTCTCCACATACGACAACGCCTCAGATATTGCATATAACTCTGCCGACATTATTGTTACTCTAGACGTAATTTTAAAACCTGCCCTCTTATTATAGTATATAAGTGTGTAGTATATAAGTGGGTCAAAAAAGCTGCCCCTATCTTATCACTGCACTTCGAGCCATCAGTAAATATTTTAAACCAACCCGAATACTTTTCTTGCAATTCTAAAATTACGTCCATACGAAGAATATCACTATTATACGTACGTTTAGCATGAGAAATACACACATCAAAAAAAGTTTGCGATCACTTCGAAAAACTGAAATCTTTTTTGTTACTGTAGATTATATTATGATTTTTTCTTCTTTTTAGATTCTTTATTTAAAAATAAATTAGAACATAAAACAATGACCCCGTTCAATTGTTTTTTCATATAAAAAGGCTTTCAGTCCTAGCTTACGCTCATTCAGAAATCTGATTTAGTCAATTATAAGCGATTCAAGATATTTTTCGCGGAAAGTTGTGATTGAAAAAATGCCCAGAGGATTATCAGAGGTTTTACGAGCTAGAATAGTAACTTTGAGGGAAGAAGGATACACCACGAGAGTAATAGCACGCAGACTTGCTATATCCCAATCCTGTGTCGTGGCTACGTTGCAGAGGTATCACGGAATGTGGAATTTAGCTGACCGACCCCGCAGCGGTCGCCCAACTGTTTTGACAGCTGCCCAAAAGCGCTATATTAGATTGCTGGCAGCCCGTGATCCAACAATCAACGCCACTAAAATAAAAGCAGAAGTCAGGCCGCCTCTGGGCTTGAAGTTAGCACGCAGACCGTTCGCAATTGCTTGCACCAGACTGGATTACGAGCACGGAGTTCTTGGCGAGCTCCGCTCAATTCCCGACAACGTCAACAACGAAGATTGCAGTGGGCTAGACTTCGGCAAAATGAAGGTGAGGACGAAAACATTTGGCAAAACTGTCTCTTCGTTGACGAATCCCGAATCAGCACTCATCCAGATAACCGACGTGTCCGTGTCTGGAGAAGACCAGGCGACCGTGAAAGACAAAGAACTGCCACTGGAACAGTTCAGCAAGGCGGAAAATCGGTGTCCTTTTGGGGTGGCATTATGATTGGAGCTAGAACGCCTTTGATCCCGTATCGGGGCTTCATGACAGCAGACATGTACAAAGCAGTTGCTATTGATGATATCGTCAGACCATTCCGAGTAAACCATGGGCACCAATTTGTACTGGTCGATGATAATGCGCCCGCACATCGAGCTCAACGAGTCAATGCTGCTCTTCAAAAATACGATATCACACGATTAGACTGGCCTGCCAGCTCGCCCGACTTAAACCCAATAGAGCACGCGTGGGATGCTCTTAAACGAGCAGTATGGAACCGTGAGCCACGTCCCCAGACAGTTCCAGAGCTCAGGGAAGCCGCTATTGAAGAATGGGATAGGTTACCCCAGGAAATGCTGGATAACTTGATCCTCAGCATGCCCAGGAGGATCTTCGCATGTATTCGAGCCAGGGGAGGAGTTATTTTATATTGAATTCACACCTTTTAATAATAAATTGTTGTTTAAGTTTAATTAAACAGTCTTTTTCTTTCTATGAAATTTCTATCACTATTACATTATGATTAATGGCTCAATTTTTTAAAATAAATAATAAAAAACAGTTTTATATTTTAATTTCAAACAGGGTATTCCTACTTAAAGAAAGCATACAACATAGATTTTTTCTTGATAAAGTTAAATTTAAAGATTTATAGGAGCTTATGCTATTGATCGCAAACTTTTTTTGATGTGTGTACATTCCAACGTGTAGGGATAGTACATTATCTATCTCAATTTTTGACACCCAGACACTTAATTTAAACATAGACAAAGGACATGAAGAGAACATGTGCTTATCGGTAACTTCCTCGCTTACTACACCCAATAACAGCTTTTTTTTCATATTCCAGTAGCTACGCCGACATTGGGTTTCTAACTCATGAATAACTGTTAAATTATTGCCAAATTAAAGTGTTTTTAAGTAAAACTTATTTGCTAAAAATTGTCTTCAGATATGTAACGGCTGTGTACAAAGTTCGCTCTCCATTACTTGAATAAGAGTTGTTCTACTAAAACCTCCTACCACCCTCGTGGTCTGATTTTGAACTTTTTCCAGCTCATACACGTGCGTTTTAGCACTACTGTCATATAAATAACAAGCACAATCCATTCTACTACGAATTAAAGAAATGTATAAACGATGAAGATGCTTAGAAAATACTAAGAAATCTCTGCGTTTTTCAATCACGTAATTGATATGCTTACCCCACCTTAAGGATCGGTCTAGCCACACCCCTAAATAATTAAATGTCTCCTTCGAACACAAGTCCTGTCCACGTACTTCAAGGCTTACACGTGGAATTCTGCGACCTCTACTAAAAACACAAAATCTTGATTTACTTGCCGAAACATCTAAACCTAGACTATCCAATATATTTAACATTACATCTAAAGACTCCTGCATCATGCTAATACTGCCCCGAAGGCATTTGGAATTGAAATATAAGACAAAGTCATCCGCATACTGGGAGATCAAATATTTTACTATCTCACGACAAACTTGGTAAGTAACCATATTAAATAAAATGGGAGAAAGAGATCTCCTTGGGCTAAGTCTTTGTCAGTCCACCTCGTAATAGGACTCTTACCATCTTCATCTAGTATGATGAGATGTCTCTCGCTCAAGAAAGCCCATAAATATTTACAAATTAAAGACCCAACTTCTAAAGCATCAAGAATACGAACGACTTTCTCGACAGGGACATTATTATACGCACCTTCTATGTCAAGAAATCATGCCACAATAGGCATACTCTTGGCAAATCCAACTTGAGTATAAGAAACTAGACGATTTAGGCGATCCATGCACGACTGCGCTCTCCTAAAGCCTATATTGTCCGGAGACAAGACCTCATTTTTCTCTACAAACCACTCTAGTCGTCTTGCCAACATAGAGTGAAATAGTTTACAAACGCAAGATATTAGTGAAATGGGCCTTAATTTCGAAAGATGGTCCTGGGTACTGCTTGACTTTGGAATGGGAACAACCTGTATATCCCGCCACTGTTTTGGAACAGCACCAGATGTAAAAATAGCATAATATAATCTGAGCAAATACATTTTAGCGATCTTGGGTAGATTGAAGATCAATGAATAAGTGATGCCGTCAAGTCCCAGAGCAGAGTCTTTTTTCTTAAGGCACTTATCCGGAGCTCTCCAAGAGGGAATTCAACTTCGAGAAGGGAGTTAATAGAACTCAATCATCAGGAATCAGGTGTTAGAGAACACAATAACTCTTCTTTCTTCTCCTCCGATGCAATAACTCTACGAGTCAAACCCTTCATCCATCTCATACGATTCGACGTGATAGATGCAAAAGCGGTATGATCTATACTGTGACAGAAATCCTGCCAGCCCTGAGATTTAGCCTTCCGAATAAAGCGTTTCGCCTCTGCGATCGTCTGCTGCAACATTTTAAAATTATCAGGTGTAAGACTTTGCCTGAACAGACTAAGCACAAGTCACCTTTCTGCAACCGCCTTAGATAGCAAAGGAATACCTTATTGTGATTGACTTACAAATAAATGGACGTCGGGTCCGCGCTAAAAAGTGTCCGAACTTATAGGGCGTTAAAATCGTATACAGAGCGTCATTCACGCTTTAGTCTTCGTTTGTTCGACTGACAGCGAAGCAAGCAAAATTAAACAGTACTGCGATGACATTACAATTTAAATTCAACATTTTAGCTTTTTCATATTCCTTTACATGTCACTACGTTTAAATAGGT